GTAAGAAATGTTGATTCGTTATTAGGAAAGACTGTCAAAATCAGGTCGGTTCCTCATGAGTTTATCAACGAAATCTTAAAATTTAGTGAAAACAACAAAACCAGTAGTTCGGCGAAGATAGTCTTTTCTGCGATTCACCTCCTTTAGCTGTATGATTGCATTCAACACAAATTTTCATGAGTGAGGGTAGTGAGAACAGTAATAATTTGTCGTAACTATAATTTTTTTAACTGTCGTTACTATCTCTCTTCTCGAACTACTTAATTTGTTCTTTTCATCAGTTCCTGGATGGGAGTATTCAAGAATTAAAAAAGTATCAAGGACCCCACAACAGTCAAAGGACTCAATGGGTTTTAACAGTATTCTGTCAATTTTGATGTAGTGAACGCGAAGATTACCTTTCTCATTGTCTCTTTCACCAATCACGAAAATTTTTCGGGAGAGCATTTCAACCAAATAACTGAACACGAAGTCACTCGGACATCATGCAATGAACCTCGCTGATTCCATTCGATCACTCGTCCAAGAACTCCGACAATATATTTCCCAAAGATCTTCAGCTTTAAACGAATTTCTCCGCTGGTGAATATCAGCGATCCACGGAATATCTCAATACACTTGCTAACAAACAGTTTATATATGCTGTAATTCAGGTCACCAATAGTTTGAAACTGTTCAAATCATATTGCGAATTTTCTGACAACTCTGGAGAGTTTATTTTGAACTTCTTTTAAGTATTTTTATTTGATTCGTGGTTGGAAGCCTTATCCATTGGTCGAGAATCTATTAGTTTTCCTTGTAGAAAGCTTTCTATAGCTTATAGAGAGCTTTCTATTATTATTATTGCTCCCTTGGGTTCCTAGTGGAACATAGGGCTTCAACTGCACATCTCCACTTGCTTCTGTCTTCCTTTCTTCTGTACTTTTCACCTGCATCCATGTAAGTCCATACTATTTCAACTCCTCTTCACACGATCTCCTGCATGTCACGCTTGCACTGACGTCTGACTCGCCGCTTCCCTTTTGATAGGAACCCACGCACTGTGTTACTGATCAATTATTTCAACGGCTGTTAATCTCGCATAAATGGTATATCTATTTGAACATGACCTGGAAAACATTCGCACTTGTCTTTCTGCATGATTAATTCAATGTAGTTTGTTTACTTATCAGTCTTATATCTCCCAATGTAATTTCAAAAGTATATATATCCGTGTATGTAGAGTATTCAGCTGACGAGTTCTACCGAAATTTGATGAATTCATTAAATCCTGCTTTATTAACCTTCACTGCTTGTTTTAAATTCGTATCGGGAAATAAATGTTTTCAATTTCTCACGCACTCTGTTATTGACTATTGCGATCAATCATTTCAAATGCTGTTAGCTGTCTATATTGTTGTAAAAACGTATAAATACCATAACTTTCTTGTCGTAGTTGTTGTGTACTACAATATACAGTTCACAGGCCAGCCTATGTCTTTTGATATTTGCGTGCTTCACTGAATTGGAAGGTACCATAAGCAGATAGGCATATTAGTCAGGCGCAGACAGAACAAGGAGACAACGTCCTCATTTAATTCCCTACCGTTATAACACCTTTCGGCCTGGTTCCACTCGAGCAATGGCTGGACGTGCGATGTCACCCAGCGGTCTCCTCAGCGAGTGTCCAATCCATCTCCACTTTCTCCCTCATATTTGTTGGGTGATTGGTTCTTGCTTTGTTTGTTCCCATAATTCCTTGTTGGTGATTCTTTCCGGCCCGGCCATCTGATCTTCAGTATAGAGCGAAGACAGTTGTTAATAAAGGTCTGCAGCCTTTTGGAAATATTCTTTGTAACCCACCAAGTTTCTGATCCGTATAGATGAACTGACTGACTTGACGTTTGTATTGAAAATCCTAATTTTGTTGTTGATGCTGAGGGACGAAGATTTCCAGTTTGTTTTCAGATTGATGAATGTGTTTCTCGCCTTCCCGATTCTCGATTTGACATCTTCGTCCGTTCCGACTACCTGTAGTCGAGAAAATGCTCACTAGACAAGTGAATGAAGTAACCTCTTCCAAATCCCTCCCGTTGATGGTGATTGACGCTGGATGTTGTTGTTGTTGTTGGTTGGTCATTTTCATAACCTCCGTCTTGTCTATGATCACCTGGAGTCCCGTCTTCACCGCTTCTTCGACCAGTTTGTCGGTTTTTGCTTGTAAGTCTTCGATTTTGTGTGACATCAAACATAAATCATCCACGCGCGAAATCCAGGTCTTCTAGGTTCTTCATGTCGATCCAGGCTATCCCTGTCTGGTTTCCCACTGTCTGACGCATAATCCAGTCCACCACAATTAGGAATATCATTGGTGATAATAAGCACCCTTGTCTGACTCCTGTGTTTACTCCAAACGCCTCGCTGAGTTTTCCGTTGTGGATCACTTGACATGTTCCGTTGTCGTACAGCTGTTGAATAAGGTTGATGAATATTTGGGGTACGCCGTAGTACTCGAGTAATTTCCAAATTACTTCACGGTCAACGCTGTCGAAGGCCTTCTCAAAGTCTATAAAGTTGAGGTAGAGGTTTGATTGCCATTCCATGCTTTGTTCTGTGATGATGATGCGTAGAGTTGCAATTTGGTCAGTACATGATTTGCCTTTCCTGAATCCAGCTTGTTCTGGTCGGAGTTCTGTCTCCAGTGCGTCCTTTAATCTCTCCAGGATGATGCGACTCAGGATTTTACTTGGCGTCGATAGGAGCATGATTCCTCGCCAGTTCTTGCAGTAGTCCTAAGTCGCCCTTCTTTGGTAGTTTCACGAGGTAACCTTTCCTCCAGTCAGTAGGCACCTTTCCCTCCTTCCAGACCTTTTGCAATAATGGAGTCAGCATGTCTGCTGTAGTCTCTGGGTCCGCTTTCAGTGCTTCAGGGGGTATTCCATCTGGTCCAGCTGCTTTTCCAGCTTTCAGAAGCTTGATTGCATTCAAGACTTCAGCTCTCGTTGGAGGATTGGTGTCAACTTGCAGTTGTGTATGCGCTGTTGTTGGTATTTCTGGACGGGTTGCAGGTGATGGTCGGTTCAAGAGTCCTTTGAAGTGATCCGCCCATTGTTTAATCTGTTTTTCTTCCTTGGTAATGGGGTTCCCTTGGCTGTCTTTTATAGGTTTCGCTTGTGTTGATCTCTTCCCGGATAGAGATTTGGTTATCTGATATAGTGTCCTCAGGTCCCTTTTGCCTGCTGCCTTCTCAGCTTCAGTGGCGAGGTTGTCGTAGAATCGTCTTTTGTCCTTCCTAGCACTCTTCTTCACTTCTTTGTCCAGTGCTTTGTAAGTTGAGCTCATCGTCTCCTTCTCCTGTCCGTCCTTGCATTGAATCATTTTCTCTTTCACCATTCTCCTCTCTTCTATTAATTTCCAAGTGTCTGTTGAGAGCCATTCCTTGTCTTGTCTCTTCTTTCTTCCTAGAACCGTTGAACACGTTTCATTGAGAATCGCCTTCAGAGACTTCCAATGTTCTTCCACGCATGATTCTTCAGTGATGTCGCGTAGTGTTTCCTGCTTTGCTCTGACAGTTGCAGTGAAGGTGTCTTTTGTGGTTGTGTCCTTCAGTTTTGAGTGTTGAACTTGCATTGTGGCCTATCCCCAGCTATCCTCGAGGCTTTTAGTTTCACCTTGAAAGTCCCTTCTACTAGATAGTGGTCTGAACCCACATCTGCTCCTCTCCTTGACCTTGTGTCCAGTAGGCTCCGTCTCCACTTTCTTGAGATTGAAATGAAGTTTATCTGGTTTCTGGTGTTTCCATCTGGTGAAATCTATGTCGTCTTGTGTATATCCTTGTGTTTGAACACACTACCACCAATCACCAAATTATTGAAGGCGCAGAAGTGTGAGAAGAGTTCACCATTATCGTTCATTTCGCCGAGGGCCTCACGACCCATGGTGAGTTCTCTTACTGTATTGTCTCCTCCCAGCTTCGCATTCGTGTCGCTCATCCGAATTTTGATATCGCCATTTGGGACGTTGTCCACTATTGCTTGTAGTTTTCTGTAGAACGCCTCCTTCTTCTCTTGTTCTGAGACGTTTGTAGGCGCATAGCATTGAATGACTGTAACTTTCCTTTCTTTTGAGTTGAACCTGGCTGTCATTATCCTGGAGGAGATTGGTTCCCACTGCATGAGAGCTTTGGTTGCTGTTGGTGACATCATGATGGCCACTCCATCGATGTGCTCGTGATTGTCCTCTGGGTGGCCGGAATAGATTACTGTCTCCCCAGTTGGTAGCTGGCATCTACCACACCCGTTCCATCTGCTCTCGCAGATTCCCAACACTTCTATTCTGTACCTTCTCATTTCACTGGCTATCTGGGCAGCCTTTCCAGTTTCGTACATTGTACGAACATTCCAGGTATCCATCCTTACTTTTGCTTCCATCGAAAGAAGGCAGGCACATCGGCTGACTGGCTTCCCGAAGGCTAGCTTTCACCAGCCTGCGTCATTTCACTTCCCCGATTTCAGCGAAAAATAAGGCTATTGTTTATGTTTTTAGAATTTTTAATATATTTATTCGTTGAAGTTTCTGTAGCGGTTTGGTTGTTTTACGGGGGTGGAGTTGCTAGCACCACGCCCCAACCCTCCCTCTTTACCCGGGCTTGGGACCGGCTAGAAAACTAGGCGGCTAGTAGCCTAGAAAGCTAGTAATCTGGTGATTCAAAGTATATTAATTTATATTTTCCATAAGGAGACATGAACTATTAATATTTTGATTCGATTCACAAACAAGAATAGATCTCCGTGAGTTATATTCATCTTCATTTTTATAATAATTTATCGCCTAAGCTTAGGTAATAAAGACTGAGGCAATTTTATTCGTATATTTTAACCTGCATGAGTTATTTTTATAAAAGTATCATGTGATTTATTGATTTTAGCCAACATGTGTGCATAACATCTTTGAGCGAATAAATATCAATCAACATTTCCACCATAGATTCAATATTCAAGGTTGTTGTTTTACGTGATTCACGAATACAGATACAGTCAATCTAAAAACAGACAGAGAGACAAACCAACCAACAACCAGATATGACACAGAGAGATACACTGCATAAAAGAAAATTATTATTTCAAGCCAAATGGTGGAATGTGCTAACAATAACACAACGTATTAAACTGTGTACATTTTTATGTTTATATTTTTTTGGTGGAATAATGTTCATATCTGGAGTAATCTCAGATAATTTTATGAAACAAGAATTAGAATTACGTGTGGTAAAGTCTTCAATATCTGAATATCAAGATATTAATTATACATTCAAGGTAAATGTGTGTGATATAATTCTATGATTGAATAATTCTACTTAACTGATTATTGGAAGTTGGAGAATTATTGGAAAGTCAAGGTATACTGAAGAGAGTTATTTCGTCCTAGTTGAGGAGTACCCAACTTCAGCAATACGTGCCCACCAAGGTCCGAATCCAGGACTTTCAGGCTATAGGGCGAGTTCGTAGACCATTCAGTCACTGAATTCAAGAAATCACTGAAATAATTTTTATAAAATATATGATATCATTGACCACAGTTAATGGAATCGCGTATAATTTCTTATACCGGAAGTGGGACATGATTTACTTCGAGGTTGCAGATACGCCTTGCTGACTGGTGAGTGCCAACTAGCCCGAAACCTAGGTCCAAGGCTTCCTGTGGTCGATTGCCTCTAACCATCTAATACCAGCTATTCACAATGCACCGTAATGGTGAGCCACCTAGTGGTATGCTGGCCACATTTCAAGCTTGACTGATAGAATTCAGTCTGCACCAAAGACAGGAGGACTAGACACATTACACCAGTTACTGACTAGTGTCCAATCGAAACTACCTGAAATTATTGAAGTGGATTTGAAAAGTGAAGTATATTACTTGAGAAAAAAATACTTAAATCTTTGATCTAAACATTTCATCACACAGTCAATAAACTCGGAAGAAGAAGAATGACTGGAAAGTGATTATCAATCGGTAGATTGTAGAGATTCGATCGATTTTATGACAAATGAGCATCAGTAATAATGTTAGAAGTCATAAGATGTTGGATGCCACCCTAGTGACTGGCTAGTAACTTATTCGCCTCATTACCCGACAGTGTTGAAATCGATCACTGGTTCAGTTATGACTGCTCAATGCTGAAGAATCCCATATTAGGCTGAAACACGTGTACAGTACTCTCTGATTTTCAATGATCCTTTAATTGATGCCAACTCTTAATGAAATTTATCTTTGTAAAAATGATCTGATCAATTCTCTTGAGTCACTTACAGTCTGAAACGACTTCTATGTTAATTATGAGGAAATAATTCAGTATATATATCTCGTACATATTTCCTCATTTAATGCAATCAAACAAATAGGGGAAGTGTTGATAATAAGAGAACTACTCACCAGATTTTATCCGAAGAATGTATGAAGACCCATAGTGGGAATAAGAATAGTAATGTAAATAATAAAATTGGGGTAGTATTCAAATCAACCAACTCGCTCACAGACAGACTTTGCCAACTGAAGGAAACACAATAACCAAAATAGAGTAATTCATCGAAGAATACACTGCGAAGTGGTCGCGCTATGTCATGAATTGGTAGAAGTTAGAATTCATAGATTGGCTATTGGATCGGGTCAGGTGCCAGTGGCTTAATGGTTTACGAGCCAGCTCGCCTTGTAATCAGAAGGTGCTGGGTTTGAATCCCACAGGTAGGTGGGTGCGTACTTCTGAAGAGTCCCAAAGTAGAACGGAGGAGACAGCTGGCTGTCCAGTACACCTTGCAGGTTTCCCAATGGTTCTTTAACTGATGTCAGCTCATGAGGAAATCCTCCAATCAGTCAAATGGAATGATTATGAGGTCAGTTATCGGAATAAAGGGATTTAGCTAGACTTAAAATGACTAACCCTGATGAGTTAAACAGTCTGGAAAACAAATGAGACTATTGCAATGGATTCACTTGCATCTAATCACACAGTGTAGGATAAAGCAAAAGCATTGAAAAGTAATATAGTTAGTTAGTCGGCGAATCCTACTTCATTGACTCAACACCAAACACGAGCTACCAGGACGATGAGACACCCATACCGGATTTAGGAAGGATTGCAGTAGAAAGCAAACAGGAAGTGTAACGACAGAAGACAAAGGCTAGAAAACAAATTGTTTATACAGAAAATCAAGTGATATTTATCGATTTTTATGTACATTATTTTCAGCGAAGAAGAAAGGTCGTCTGATAAGTTGTTCTCTTGACGAAGGTTATTCTGTCGTCTCTTTGTGGCCGTTTCTCAGAAAATCAGGCTATATATCTGCGAATCGTACTTGAACACATTAAGTCCGCTGTGATTGGTTGATGATTTTCTCTAGGTTCGGCTCTGTTATCGTTTTTACTCATGGCTTTGATTCGGGTCGCCACATTGACGTATATTGTTGTTTACAATTTTGGCTTGTTCTCAGCCAGCTCTCACCACAGAAGAAAAGAGGCCACCTACACACACCAAGTGATGAAGTCGCGTGAATGCAGTGATAAGATCATAAGCAAAAAGAATTGTCCACGAAACGTGATCCAATTATTAATGCTGTATCAGTCACTGTGTGCTATTTCAAATAAGCTTATCTAAAATATGGAAGTATATTCTACAACAGCGCCCACATTCTACACTTATCTGATGAAGTGGGTCAATATCACACATTCCAGACAAACAAGGATGTTTTGTTCCAAATGAAAACATTGCAGAACAATTCAGCTATTGTCGATAAGTATCACTGCTAATATATATGTGAACAAAAATTTACAAAGAAACAAAACATTGAATTTTGATGTGACCTTTAAAATAGTCCGCCACATTTCTTTCTTCCTGACTTTAAAAGTAACAGAATTGTTGATAGAGTCAACTAGAGATTGATTACAACAGCAACAACTGAAAACCAGTTATATGACTTCTTAGTATTAATGTGATAATTACTACAAATATTATCGATCCGTTTTGAATACTTTTGGTATCAGTGTTAATGCATAATAATCTTAATTGTCCTCTGCTTCATATGTAGCATCGTTTTAAACCTTGACTTTATCATTATTATTATTCCCTTGGGTTCTTACTGGAATACAGGGCCTCAACAAAACATCTCCACTTTCTTCTATTCAATGCTATCCTCTTCAGCTGGCTCCACGTTTGCCCACACACTCTCATCTTCTCCATGTCACCCTTGTGCTGACAACCCACTCGTCGCTTCCAATTGGGATTCCACTCGAGTGATGTCATTCGGAGGACTCCTTAAGATATCTCCGGTTCATTTCCATTCTCTCCTACATATATGTTGAGTAATCGCCTCTTGGTTGGTTCGTCGTCAGCCAGAGTTTCTTGAAGTTAATTTTTTGGCTGTCCTGCCATTCGATCTTCAGTATGGAGCCAGCCAGCAAAGGTGGCGGCTGTTGTTGAAAGTCTGCAACCGGTTGGAAACTCTCTTCACGACACGGGTGTCAAGCTTCTGACCTGTATAGAAGAACTGACCAACTTCACATTTGTGTTGAATAGAAACCGAATCTTGTTCCTTATGCTGAGGTGGAGTGCAGAAGATTTTCAAAGTGGTTTCAGGTTGATGAGGTTGAATCTTGACTTTGCGATTCTTTCCTGCTTTGTCATCGTCATCTGTTCCGACTACCTGTGGTTGAAACGATGCGTCCTAGATAAGTGAAAGAAGTAGTCTCTGTTAAATCTCTCCCGTTGTTGGTGGCTGGTGCTGGTTGTTGCGGTTTGTTGGTTATCTTCACCATCACTGTCTTCTTTATATTCACCTGGAATCCTGTCTTCCCTCCACTACTTCTTCAATCAGTTTATGGGCTTTCACCTGCAAGTCTTCGAGTTTGTGTGACATCAAACACATATCATCTGCGAGATTCTGATCTTCTACGGACTTCTTATCGGTGGTCCAACGTATTTCTGTCTTCTCACTCTCCACAGTCTGACGCATAATCTAAACTTATTAGAACCATTGATCCAACTATGGTATAGCAATGAATACAAGTCCTCATCTAAGAGATGCTTCTTCTGTTCTCCCTGGAACTCTGAAGTGTATTCATTAGAAATTCATCTATTCTATAACAACAGAAGACAAGGGCCAGGCAACAGATCATTTATTACGGAAATCAGCACGTATTTATATATATTTCATGTACATTATTATAGCTTACTCACGCAGACAAACACAGGATTTGATTGTTTGTTTCTTGCTCAAGGTTATTCTGTACTGCTTGTGACTAGTTTCTCAGAAAGTTAAGCCATATATCTGCGAATTGTATTTGCCCACGTTAAGTCTGTTGTGATTGGTTGTTGAATCAGTCTTGTTCATATTTTCCCACGGCCATTATAAGCGACGTAGACATTGACGTAAATTGATGTCTACCAATTGGCTAGCATCCTGCTCTCACCACAATTCTCTACCGGATAAAACTGAGTTTTCAACACTGCCAAGTACCTGAAACTTTCAGCTTCCCGATAATTCACAAAAAAAGTATGTGAATTAAGTAAACTTGTAGACGTGTGTGGTTGATCTTCCAGTGATTAAGAAATCGCACGTTTCACAATCACATTTCCGAAATCAACATAAACAAAATGCTTTCGAACTATACAACTGTGTTGTTGTCACTGATTTCTATTTTGTAGTGGATGAAATTACAGTATGGATACAAAAGGGATAATATCCGGGATTGGATGTGGAAGTTGCATCCATCCTATCAGTAGGGATACAAATAGACTAAGTTTAGCATCGGAAAACTTGCATTAGCTTCAATCCAGGCATGACTTCCGGATATCGCTTAGACAGAATACCTACTGCATAGTCATTCTATTCTATAGTTGTGATATAGTTCCTGAGGTTAACAAATAATAAACTACAAGTTGTTAACAACAGATATGTCTCCGTTCCAATGTTTGTGTTAGCTGATACAATATAGTAAGTAGGAAGATATCTGGATGGAAAGGGTAGGATGATCGCGAATACTGTGAAGCTTTATCAATTGATACGACTGGGATATATGTGATATACATGCCTAATCATTTAGATCATTTGAATATATGATCTAATATTAACGAATGATTGTTTCTAGTCTCGAGAAATGTCAGCCGATCTAAGTCTACATTGGAAAAGAGTTAGGGGAATGGTTTATCGAAAACACATCATCAATCCATGAAGTGTTTCACTGTTAATTTGAGTCAGGAAGAGAGTTATAGACTGCCTGATTGGGGTTCTTAGGATGCCAAGAACCAGTAGTTGGACGGTGT